CACGTGCAAACTCTTGCATGGAAAACAATCCACTTGCTAGTTGTTTTATTGCAAGGATAAAAGGAGATTCGATTGAAAGTATTTACACATCCTGGACTCCTTTTATAGATTACTATTGGTTCGTTTCCAACATCTGCTTCGGTTTCACCACGTAGAAGTTTACCAATAGAATTGTAAGCTGCTAGGATCTGAAATTGTTTGACTTCTTTTGATTCGTCTCTGGTATGATAGTGATCAGGGTATAAGTCTCTGATTGAGAGATGATCTGGCCCTAAACCCTTTCGATCACGATAAGAGTCTGGGAGTGTTAATGTACTAGATACCTCAAGATCGATACTCTTGAAAAAGGCAGTACATATCTTGACACCTTCTGATAACCCGGAATATGGTCTACCAAATAAGATAATCTCATTCTTGATCGGTTTACAGTAACTGTTCACTTCTTCGAATACATTCTCAATAGTTGGCGTAAAACATTTTGTCTCTTTATCCTTGTCATCATTTATCCTTTTCAAAATATCATACGAATTCAAAGCAATCACTTCATTGCCCCTTTTCTTTTCTTTTGAATAAGGAATGAAATCATAACTATCAAAGATAATTAGAAATACATGGGTGACTATCCTATCTGTTTCAAAAATCTTCTTATCAAACCCAAAGTTCACAGGAAATCTTTTTGATATCTAATCCTGTTTCTTCAAAAACTTCTCTTGACATAGCGGAAAATATATCTTCCTGTTTGTATAGCATTTCGTATTGTTTATTATAGATTAGTAAATCATCACCAATAATCGTATCCCATTTCTCTAACTTAACAACATGTTCGATACCAAACCCGTCTGGAGCATCGAATACTTTCTCGATATCCTCTTGCTTATTTTTAACTGAATCTCATTGCCTGTTTTTAATCTATCTATCGTTTTCTTCGAAATCTCAAATCGCATTTCTCGCTTTCTTCCAATGGGTGAAATTTTAGATTTATACTGTGAATTACCCTGACCGCGTGATTCAAAGATAAACTTATTCATACACTTGTCGTATAAAAATGCAGATACGAATCCGTATTGTTTATGTCCATTATTTCTACGCTTAATTCTATATTCGTTAGTAAATTCTGGAATCTCTTTTGAAAATAATTCAGAATTATCTTTTTGTTTAGACATTTTTAATTTGAAATAAAAGATAAATATGTAACTTTATTTATAAGATAAATTATTACAATCAATGTTATACAGAAGCTAAATATATTATATTCTTATGAATTCAATGTATTACAAAGCACATGATTCACATGAATTACTATTGGTACAAATGGGTGGGTTTGTAGATGAACCTGTTTTGATATCCAATGACCTGGATGATGACAT